TTTTCTGTGCGGTTCCTGTGCCAATCACGTGCGATCTGTGTGCGGTTCCTGTGCCAATCACGTGCGATCTCTGTGCGGGTTCCTGTGCCAATCACGTGCAATCTGTGTGCAGTGCGGTTCCTGTGCCAATCACGTGCAATCTGTGTGCGGTTCCTGTGCCAATCACGTGCAATCTGTGTGCGGTTCTTGTGCCAATCACGTGCAATCTGTGTGCGGTTCCTGTGCCAATCACGTGCAATCTGTGTGCGGTGCAGTTTCTGTGCCAATCACGTGCGATTTGTGTGCGGTTCCTGTGCCAATCACGTGCGATCTGTGTGCGGTTCCTGTGCCAATCACGTGCGATCTGTGTGCAGTGTGATTGGAGTCGTACACTTTGCATGGCTCAGATTCCATATCCACACCAGAAGGGTCCAGCCCCCTTTTTTTGGTCCGGTCTAGAATCGGATGGCACGGGTGATCACAATCAGGGGATAAGGACAGCAGGTAAGTCTCCTGGAATGGGAGGTGCTATCTGTACGGAGATATTTCTGCTGGGAATATATTCGGGAAATCTACCTATCCTAGAGTACTGCTTGGAATGTCCATTTAGGTCTGCGGGACAAGAAAAAGTGACTTTGCTGACCCCATCCTACCCCCTGCTGCTCTCATCTCCTCCCCTCTCCTCCAGCAATGGGCTGTCCCTCGGCATCCTCTGGTCCAGTGCAGGGCTATGGGCTCTGTATTGTACCTGATGATGTCAGATGACCTGTGACCACTGGAGTGTAGGAGGAAGAGGCTTTGGGCAAAGCTGCTGTTAGAAACCATGGGGCCCCATACAGCCAACCTGACAGCCCCTCCCCCCTCCAAATAAAACACAGTTTACTGTTCTTCAGTTATGAATGAACACAGTAAGTGATCAGTAGTGATCATTTGTTGTGTTTATTCAGGAAAGAAAGGGGCAGGTAAATGTGACATGCTTACCACACCCTTCTGTGACACATATACTGGACCCTTCCCCCACTCTCCATCCTAAAGGATCCACTGATTACTATGCTTCAGTTGTGAATGAACACAGTAAGTGATCGGTAGTGATCATTCATTGTGTTCATTCAGGAAAAGAAGGGGCTGGTAAATGTGACATGCTTACCACACCTTTCAGTGACATATATACTGGACCCTTCCCCCAGTCTCCATCTTAACAGATCCACTGATTACTATGCTTCAGTTGTGAATGAACACAGCGAGTGGATGGTACCGATCACTCATTGTGTTTATTCAGGACAGGAAGCTGCTGGTACATGTAACATGCTTTCCACACCCTTCCGCCACTCTCCAACCTGAAGGATCTTTTAGTGTATTTGCAACTGCCAGAGGGAAGGAGGAGGGAAGCTCCGTGTCCAATCGGAGAGCATGGTGCGCATTTATGTCTAACAACGCTGCAATTTAAAAAAAGTTTGTAGAGCCCCGCCCAACTACAGAGCGGGAGCCGCTGATTGGAGGGTTGTTGCCTTTCGCGTGTGTGTGGTTATCAGAATGAAAACTAAAAATTGGGAATGAAAATTAAAGTAAAAATACACAAAGAGTTCAATAAGAAGGAGGGAATATCCCACAGAAAGTACAAATACATATCCACACACGTGGTTGTCGTGCCCGTATGTGGTTGTCGTGCCCGTATGTGGTTGTCGTGCCCGTATGTGGTTGTCGTGCCGTATGTGGCTGTCGTGCCGGTATGTGGCTGTCGTGCCGTATGTGGCTGTGGTTGTCATGTCGTATGTGGTTGTCGTATGTGGTTGTGGTTGTTGGCCCGTATGTGGCTGTCGTGCCGGTATGTGGCTGTCGTGCCGTATGTGGCTGTGGTTGTCATGTCGTATGTGGTTGTCGTATGTGGTTGTGGTTGTCGTGCCCGTATGTGGTTGTCGTGCCCGTATGTGGCTGTCGTGCCGTATGTGGCTGTGGTTGTCATGTCGTATGTGGTTGTCGTATGTGGTTGTGGTTGTCGTGCCCGTATGTGGTTGTCGTGCCCGTATGTGGTTGTCGTGCCCGTATGTGGCTGTCGTGCCGGTATGTGGCTGTCGTGCCGTATGTGGCTGTGGTTGTCATGTCGTATGTGGTTGTCGTATGTGGTTGTGGTTGTCGTGCCCGTATGTGGTTGTTGTGCCCGTATGTGGTTGTCGTGCCCGTATGTGGCTGTCGTGCCGGTATGTGGCTGTCGTGCCGTATGTGGCTGTCGTGCCGTATGTGGCTGTGGTTGTCATGTCGTATGTGGTTGTCGTATGTGGTTGTGGTTGTTGTGCCCGTATGTGGTTGTCGTGCCGTATGTGGCTGTGGTTGTCATGTCGTATGTGGTTGTCGTATGTGGTTGTGGTTGTTGTGCCCGTATGTGGCTGTCGTTGTCATGTCGTATGTGGTTGTGGTTGTTGTGCCCGTATGTGGGTGTCATGCCCGTATTTGTGCTTTCTGTGGGATATTCCCTCCTTCTTATTGAACTCTTTGTGTATTTTTACTTTAATTTTCATTCCCAATTTTTAGTTTTCATTCTTTCTCCGTTTTTCTTTTTCCTTCCTCTTGTTTGTTGATCTTCTTCTTTCTGATACAATGGTTCTATGTCTTGTTACAATGTATCAGTCGGCGTATCCTCAGGACTCAGGAGTGATGATTATTACTGGTGTTATTTATCTTCATTCTTCCCTCCCTCCCGATCAGGCTTCATGGGCGGGTCAGAGGCGCTTCCTGGCCCCGCCCCGTCCCTCCCCTCTGTCTGAATATGTGCGATGTCCCCAGTGTACTCTGTGCGCTCTGCGGTGCCATCATTGGGGCCCCAATTCGCGGGTAGCGCGGGCTGCTTTGGGCCCCAAAACAAACACAGGGTCCGGGGCAAATGGGCCGGTTTTCCTGCATGTGGGCGTGCCTCGTAACTCCTCGTGTATGTCTTGGGGGTGTGTTCTATGACGTGATTGGTTAGTCACACGGAAAAGTGTGCAGGGAAGGTGTGTTACTGTTAGTAGACAGGACGGTGCTGACAGACGGCCCCACAGAGCCCGGTGCGGGAAGGATGGAGACGGTGATCGGTATGTACTGAGAGCGGATGGGACCGCCGGCAAGGGGGTATCTCCGGTCCTCCTGTAGGGGCCCCGGGCCCTTCCCTGTGACAGGGGGGCGGCCCGCAGCTTATCACCCATCAGTAATACGGCTTTCTCTCAGCCGGAGCCCCTCGTATTGCCGCTCGGTACACCCCGTATACACACCGGGGGAGGGGAGGGGCTTCTGTACTGTATGAGTGACAGCCAAACCTTTTCTGAATTATGGAACTAGCTGGGGCGGGGCACACATCTAGCCACGCCCACATTAATCTCTTTCGCCTGTAGGTGACAGTACAGTGTGTTCTATGGAGGGGAGGAGCGCCGTGTACTGAGAGGGGGGAGAACTCTGCACTGGGGGGGGGGGGGTAATTGCAGGGCTGTAGCTGCATTCTTACTGCTCACTGTATTGGTGTCACTGGGGATGTCAGTGACACAAAGTCAGTCCCATTTCCCCCCCCCCCCCCCCCAGTGTCAGATTGCCCGCCGCAGTCCTGCTGTAAGTCGCTGATCACCACCATTACTGGTAAAAATAAAAGATCCCCGTATCTATCCCGCCATTTGTAAACGCTACAACCTTCACGTAAACCAAATACAGTAATTTACACACATTGGGATTTTTTTCAGCAAACACACCGAGCAGAATACATTTTGGCTGCAATTTATGACGAAATTTGATTTTTTTTTTACTGGACATGTTTTTATAGGAAAGAAATCAAAAATATGGGACAGACCGCAGGGCACGGTGTGGGGGACACAGCCGGGCACAATACATGGGACAGACCACAGGGCACGGCGTGGGGGACACACTACATGGGACAGACCGCAGGGCACGGCGTGGAGGACACAGCCGGGCACTCTACATGGGACAGACCGCAGGGCACGGTGTGGGGGACACAACAGGTCACACTAGATAGGACAGACCGCAGGGCACGGCGTGGGGGACCGCCAGACTGGAATGACAGATCTGCCTCTCAGCAGGGAGGTCCTCACGCCAACCGATGACATCACCTGTTCACCCCGCCCCTTGCAGCTCACTGTCTCTCCCGCTCCCAGCCTGTACATGAGGATCCCAGCAAGCTCCTGTCTGCCCTCAAGGTAGGATGTGGTCTTACAGGGGCACTCTGATGGGCACAACATAGAATGTACCCATCAGAGTGCTCCGTAGTGCAAAATGTGCCCATCAGAGTGCCCCTTAATATAAACGTGCCCATCAGAGTGATGGGCACGTTATATTAAGGGGCAGAGTGCCCCTTAACCACTAGCCCACCCGGCACTTCTACCCCCTTCCTGCCCACCGGGCACTTCTACCCCCTTCCTGCCCACAGGACACTTCTACCCCCTTCCTGCCTACAGGGCACCTCTACCCCCTTCCTGCCTACAGGGCACTTCTACCCCCTTCCTGCCCACCGGGCACTTCTACCCCCTTCCTGCCCACAGGACACTTCTACCCCCTTCCTGCCTACAGGGCACCTCTACCCCCTTCCTGCCCACCGGGCACTTCTACCCCCTTCCTGCCCACAGGACACTTCTACCCCCTTCCTGCCTACAGGGCACTTCTACCCCCTTCCTGCCCACCAGGCACTTCTACCCCCTTCCTGCCCACCGGGCACTTCTACCCCCTTCCTGCCCACAGGACACTTCTACCCCCTTCCTGCCTACAGGGCACCTCTACCCCCTTCCTGCCTACAGGGCACTTTTACCCCCTTTCTGCCTACAGGGCACTTCTACCCCCTTTCTGCCTACAGGGCACTTCTACCCCCTTCCTGCCCACCAGGCACTTCTACCCCCTTCCTGCCTACAGGGCACTTCTACCCCCTTCCTGCCTACAGGGCACTTCTACCCCCTTCCTGCCTACAGGGCACTTCTACCCCCTTCCTGTCTACAGGACACTTCTACCCCCTTCCTGCCTACAGGGCACTTCTACCCCCTTCCTGCCCACCGGGCACTTCTACCCCCTTCCTGCCCACCGGGCACTTCTGCCCCCTTCCTGCCTACCGGGCACTTCTACCCCCTTCCTGCCTACAGGACACTTCTACCCCCTTCCTGCCTACCGGGCACTTCTACCCCCTTCCTGCCTACAGGGCACTTCTACCCCCTTCCTGCCTACAGGGCACTTCTACCCCCTTCCTGCCTACCGGGCACTTCTACCCCCTTCCTGCCTACAGGTCACTTCTACCCCCTTCCTGCCTACAGGGCACTTCTATCCCCTGCCTGCCTACAGGACACTTCTATCCCCTTCCTGCCTACAGGGCACTTCTACCCCCTTCCTGCCTACAGGGCACTTCTACCCCCTTCCTGCCTACAGGGCACTTCTACCCCCTTCCTGCCTACAGGGCACTTCTACCCCCTTCCTGCCTACAGGGCACTTCTACCCCCTTCCTGCCTACCGGGCACTTCTACCCCCTTCCTGCCTACCGGGCACTTCTACCCCCTTCCTGCCCCCCAGGCACTTCTACCCCCTTCCTGCCTACCGGGCACTTCTACCCCCTTCCTGCCTACCGGGCACTTCTACCCCCTTCCCGCCTACCGGGCGCTTCTGCCCCCTTCTTCTTGCCTACCGGGCGCTTCTGCCCCCTTCTTGCCTACCGGGCGCTTCTGCCCCCTTCCCGCCTACCGGGCGCTTCTGCCCCCTTCCCGCCTACCGGGCGCTTCTGCCCCCTTCCCGCCTACCGGGCGCTTCTGCCCCCTTCCTGTCTAGGCCAATTTCCAGCTTTTAGCGCTATCACACTTTGAATGACAATTGCGCGGTCATGCAACACTGCACCCATATGAATTTTTCCACCAAAGTAGCACTGGAACCTTTTTCCAAAATCCCATCACACAGAGTCACATTGATGGGAAGGGGCACCCTGGGAAATAATGTGATTTCCATGGTCATGTGACTTTGTGTGACTCAAGTCGCATCAGAAATCGCAGCCGTGTGAACCTGACGTTCTGCTAGTGTGCAATGCTGGTCCTAAAATGCACCAAAAATGAAAAATCCCTACATTGTTGTAAATACGACCCCAAACCTGCGCCCCTGTTATTGCCGGTCACCCCATCCCTCCTCCCGGCTTGGATGAAGATGCTGAATCTGTGTTGGTGGGTCGGTGTAGGTCAGGGTTGTAGACCGGATCTGACAACGTCTGAGTACGGTAGGTGGATGCCAATGAGTGACTGTGAAGCACGGACTCCTCTAGCAGGTAAAAGGGGTCCTTGTGGTCCCCATCTCTGCGATTTTAGCCCCTCCGGTTATATTCCAGAAGCTGGGAGGGTGTCATCCACCATGGCTGGGACTGCGCAAATCCAGACAAGCTCAGTTTGGTCAGTCTTTGGACATTTCTATCGTGGAACGGCATTCATCATCCCAGTGGAGGTCTGGGGGCTGGTCTCTTAAAGGGAGAGTCCATAGGAAGTAGCTACTAAAGGACAGAGGCGGATGAGCAGAGATCGACTGACCTAAAAAGTGTGTGAGACCTGTTTTAACCCCTTCCCTACCAGACACTTTCCCCCCCCTTCCTGTCCAGGCCAATTTTCAGCTTTCAGTGTTGTCACACATTGAATGACAATTGCGCGATCATGCAACATTGTATCCATATGACATTTTTATCATTTTTTTTTTCACACAAATAGAGCTTTCTTTTGGTGGTATTTAATTGTCGCTGGTTGTTTGATTTTTTGCACTATAAACGAAAAAACAGAAACAAAGAAACCTTTTTTTTTTTTTTTTTTCAAATTTTTTTGCTAAGAGGTAATTTTTTTCTCCTTCACTGTTGTTCGTTAATGAGGCTTCACTGATAGGCACTGAGGTGGCATGGATAGGCAGCAGTGATGGGCACTGAGGTGGCAGGGATAGGCTTCACTGATGGGCACTGAGGTGGCATGGATAGGCTTCACTGATGGGCACTGAGGTGGCATGGATAGGCAGCACTGATGGGCACTGAGGTGGCACAGGCAGCACTGAGATGGCACAGATAGGCAGCACTGAGGTGGCACGGATAGGCAGCACTGATGGGCACTGAGGTGACACGGATAGGCAGCACTGAGGTGGCACGGATAGGCAGCACTGATGGGCACTGAGGTGACACGGATAGGCAGCACTGAGGTGGCACGGATAGGCAGCACTGATGGGCACTGAGGTGGCATGGATAGGCAGCACTGAGGTGGCACGGATAGGCAGCACTGATGGGCACTGAGGTAGCACTGATGGGCACTGAGGTGGCACGGATAGGCAGCACTGAGGTGGCACGGATAGGCAGCACTGATGGGCACTGAGGTGGCACGGATAGGCAGCACTGATGGGCACTGAGGTGGCACGGATAGGCAGCACTGATGGGCACTGAGGTGGCACGGATAGGCAGCACTGATGGGGCACTGAGGTGGCACGGATAAGCAGCAAAGATGGCCACTGATAGGCGGCACTGCTGGGCATTGATGAGGAGGCACTGATGGGTGGTGCTGACGGATGGGCACAACTGCTGGGCAGCACTGATTGGTGGCACTGACGGGACACAGGTGAGCACTGCTGGGTGGCACTGATGATCAGTGCCGATCTGCTCTGTGACAATTGCCGGGTATCAGCAGTACTTTCATCTCGCTGTGACAGTGTAAGGAAAGTGCTCCCGATAACCGGTAACTGTATATACTCGGTGATCTGCTCTGTCATTGGACACCATTGATCACTTTCTAAAAGGCCGCTGTGATTGGTATTTTACCTCATCACGTGATCAGCTGTGCCTGTAGGAGATCGCTGGGGGCGCGTGGGAGGGCGCATTGTTTTTTTGGAATTCTATTGCCCGGTTGGATTCACAAGGAGTGAAGATCTGCTTGGAGGGACCTAGCATGGACTGGTTGCAGCATGAAGGACATTTACCAACAAGTGCATGTGACCTCTGCTATTATATAGGTCTAGTGATGAGGTGAGCAAGGAGAGCGCCCACAAGGGGAGCATTTCTTGTTTGAAGCGGGGGCCAGGCACTCTATTAGGACATTTCATTGGGACTGGATCACTATTTTACAGATTCTAGTTGTGGACGTATGTTTGTTTTTTATGGTTTTTTATGTTCTTTGAGGAGTTGGCGCACCACATTTTAAATGTAATATTCCAGAACAACGTTTACAAACAGACCTCTAGTGATCTATTTTTTCTCCTTTTAGTTCTCCTGTATATCCTCAGCTGCCCGTTGCTGACATGGGGGGGCGTGTGTACATACAGAGCGGGTCGGAGATCAGTGCATGTAATATGAAGTGTCCTCAGCCTCGAGGTGTCATGGAGCTGTACAGACAATGTGGAGGGAAAGCAGAACCTTTACTTGAGATGTACTGTGGTGATCCTCGCACCATCAACAATGACAAGGCCAGACTTCACCTGGACAGGGAGAGCGGCTGCTGGAATCTGACCCAGACTGGAAGGAGAGACTCCTGTGTGTATATTATAGAATTTCACGGCAGCTCAATAATACAACTCTTCTCTATAGACATCCGTGTTCTGGGTAAGAGACCATATAATGAATTGTGCTCTATGGAGAATGATGTATATTGTGAATGTAGGTATGTGGGGGAGGAGCTACAGATCATATGAGGTAATAAGTCTGTGTACAAGAGCTAGCACTCTATTCCCTGTATCTGGGCTCTGTGTTGGTGACTGTCCTCCTGTTCACTTCAGATCCGGTTCTCATCTCCAACATCACCAGTAATGGTAGCCGGCTGGGTGAGGACATGGCGGTGAGCGTCCAGTTCTCTGGAGAAGAGAGCGCTGTGACCTGGGAGGTGGACGGGGAGCCTCTCCCTGAAAAGATACCGGCTGATAGACGACAATAGGACGCTGATTATCCCCAGTGTGCAGAGAGACGACGCCGACAGGAGATTCCGGGTCAGGATCACCAACCCGGTCAGTGAGGAGATCCGGGAATACCGGCCGATCAATGATATAATGTTCATCAGAATGCCGGAAGCAGAAGGTATTGGTGACTATGGGGGAGGGTCATGTTATAATGTATTGGGGGGGTCAGCTTGTCTTCTCTGACCTGGGGGGTCATAGTGGGAGGGTGACGCAGGATAGTAACATGGTGTCATGTTGTCTCTGCTCCTGATGGAGGATTATACAGGTGAGATGTCACATGACTGTCAGTACAATGTAGTATATTTATCATTTGTGTATCTCAGTCTAGGTTACATTGTAGTTACAGATGCTGAATCGTCTAGAAGGCTCGTTCTTGGTCTTGGTGTTGGTCTTGGTGGTGTTGTCCCAGTAATATCGGTAGCAGTGATGGCCTATATCATATATCGGGTGAGTGATATTCCCTCTCTCTATATTACACTGACTGTAGTAAGGGGTCTATTTAACTGGTTCCCACCCGGCCGTCAGTCTATCCTTTCCCCACTGCACCCCCCACACATCTGACAACAGATGCAAAGTTACTAGTGATCGAGTGTCTGGGTGCGGCATGACCTGCTGCCTGTGGGATCTAGGAGGGTATGGCCGGGATCTAGGAGGCGTATGGCCGGGATCTAGGAGGCGTATGGCCATCTGGAGGGTATCTAGGAGGCGTATGGCCGGGGATCTAGGAGGCGTATGGCCGGGATCTAGCGTTATGGCCGGCGTGGATATGGCCGGAGTCGCTTTGGAGGCGTATGGGCCGGTCGCTTGGAGGCGTATGGCCGAACTCGCTGGGATCGTAGGAGGCGTATGGCCGGGTATCTATCGCTTGGAGGCGTATGGCCGGGATGGAGGCTAGGAGGCGTATGGGCCCGTCGCTTGGAGGCGTATGGCGGCGCTTGGATCTATGGCCGGCATTGGAGGCGTATGGCCGGGATCGTATAGTCCGGTCGCTTGGAGGCGTATGGCCGGGCTTGGAGGCGTATGGATCGCTTAGGAGGCTAGGAGGCGTATGGCCGGGATCTAGGAGGCGTATGGCCGGGAGGCGTCTAGGAGGCGTATATGGCCGGGATATGGAGGCGTATGGCCGGGACCTAGGAGGCGTATGGCCGGGATCTAGGAGGCGTATAGTCAGGCTAAGCATAGCTGCATTTCTCTGATCACCAGAGAGGCTGTCAGGTAAATTCAGTGCGGTATTCTGCTTAATAGACTGTTGTGATGGATTAGTCAGGTCTGCTCATGCTGCTCTGGTGCTGGAATTTGCCTGAGTTCTGCCTTCCTTCAGGAAGCTATAAGAACCTTCTAGAACATGGGTAGGGGCAAATGAACAGCATGAATATGGATACAGCCCTGGCCAGTTGCAGGGGAGGGTGGCCCCATTGCATGCTGGGAGTGGTATTTATGTTCTGTGAGCACATGAGTTCAGTATCTTTCCTTGGACAGAATTACACCAACCCAGACTGGAGGCAGGCTGCCTCACCTGGCACTTGCCATGCAGCCTCAGGTGGGTTGACCTGAGGGCCTGAAGTTAGAGTGACCCTGGTTCTTCAGTAGGCTGACTGAGCTGAGCTGTCTGCCACAGTTCTGTCTGGTATCACTGGAGGGTTTTGCTTGGAAGATTGGAAGGAGTCGACTATTCTGTCCTTTGGGTCTTGTGAGTACTGACATTGAGGAATTTGCGCACTCCATGTGCTTGATATACTCCCCCCCCCAACCCCCTTCTGCTTGATAGCGTGGGTCTGAAAAGGAAAGGGAACACTGGCTAGTGTTCTGAAGAGCTTGTCCAATTGTTGCTGTTGCAAAGGACTTTGCTCAGCTACATTACCTTTTGGGCTGCTGTAACTGGCTTATACCGGAGGAGCTCAGCCCTGTAACCACTACTACTGCTGAAGGAAAATATAGGGTTTGAGCTATACTCGCCATATAAGACTAACCCTCTTCCAACGCACACCAAATAAAAATGAAAAAAACATCAGATTTTTGATTTCAATATGGTATGGTATTTCAGTATGGTATTCCAATGATGGGGTGCTATTCCTCCCACTGACACTAATGGTGCCCCATCAGTAGTGTCACTGTGTGAGGAATAGTGTCCCATCATTGGTGTCAGTGGAGGAATAGTGCCCCATCACTGGTGTCAGTGGGGAGAATAGTGTCCCATCATTGGTGTCAGTGGGAGGAATAGTGCCCCATCATTAGTGTCAGTGGGAGGAATAGTGCCCCATCATTGGTGTCAGTGGGAGGAATAGTGCCCCATCATTGGTGTCAGTGGGAGGAATAGTGCCCCATCATTAGTGTCAGTGGGAGGAATAGTGCCCCATCATTGGTGTCAGTGGGAGGAATCATGCCCATCATTGGTGTCAGTGGGAGGAATAGCACCCCATCATTGGTATCAGTGGGAGGAATAGTGCCCCATCATTAGTCAGTGGGAGGAATAGTGCCCCATCGTTGGTGTCAGTGGGGAGGAGGAATAGTGCCCCATGGTTGGTGTCAGTGGGGGAGGAATAGTGCCCCATCATTGGTGTCAGTGGGGAGAATAGTGCCCCATCATTGGTATCAGTGGGGAAAATAGTGCCCCATCATTGGTATCAGTGGGGAGAAAAGTGCCCCATCGTTGGTATCAGTGGGGAGAAAAGTGCCCCCATCGTTGGTGTCAGTGGGGGAGGAATAGTGCCCCATCGTTGGTGTCAGTGGGGGAGGAATAGTGCCCCATCGTTGGTGTCAGTGGGGAGGAATAGTGCCCCATCGTTGGTGTCAGTGGGGGAGGAATAGTGCCCCATTCGTTGGTGTCAGTGGGGAGGAATAGTGCCCCATCGTTGGTGTCAGTGGGGAGGAATAGTGCCCCATCGTTGGTGTCAGTGGGGGAGGAATAGTGCCCCATCATTGGTGTCAGTGGGGAGAATAGTGCCCCATCATTGGTGTCAGTGTGGAGGAGGAATAGTGCCCCATCGTTAGTGTCTGTGGGGGAGAGGAGCGGCTGCTCCTTCTTTCAGTTCGGCAGCTTGATTTTCGCGGGGCCGTTCGGCTCCGCCTCCTCGCCGGTGATTGGTCGCCTGTGTGCGCTGGCGCCCAATCACCGGTAAGGAGGCGGAGCCGAGCGGCCGCGGCGACCATCGAGCGGCCGAACTGAAAGAAGGAGCAGCCCGCGCTTCCTGGACCGGATCATCGTGGGACCGGAGCCAGGTAAGGTACAGCAGCCCCTCTGCCCACACCCCTGTACTTAGTGTCCGTTGGAGGACACCGCCCCTGGAAAAAGTGCCGCCCTGACACACCGGCTCGCCGTATAACCGGCGTATAAGACGACCCCCGACTTTTCAGAAGATTTTCAGGGGTTGAAAAGTCGTCTTATACGCCGGCAAATACGGTATGTCTACACTTTAAAGAGAAGTCTATCTACTTTCAGTCAGGACTTCAATACTGATCAACCAGGAGATCAGCTAGATGTCCTCATTGTGAATAGTTCTAACTTTGGAGTATCCTACTACAATTATAAAAGAAAATGCAGCGCTCATAAAAAGTGAGTAAATAATATTAAACACAGTCCGGTGAAAACAGTGCTCCGTGATTCCCAGTGCAAATGGTAGAATTTCACACTAACCAGAACACGCATAGGTAATGCGCATGTGTATATATATATCCTGAAGATCCCCCCTCTCCACTCAGGTCTGGTCAGGTATATAGCTGGGAAAGATGGAGATCCTACGCCCTCATGTGGGTGTGAGAAAAATAATCCGGCAGGTCAGAGCAGTAACGATCTGGATAAGCCTCCAAAGGAACTGGCACAGGAATCCCCAGGGCTGCAAGGATGGAAGAAGCTCCTCACAGGAGACATAGGGAAGCACTCATAGTGTAGTAGGTAAAACTTTTATTGAAAGCAACACAGGTGCAGAATTGAGAATTGAATAGCCAAGTATGAGCAAACACACTGACCCTTTAAGAAGTCAAAATGGCCGCCGGCCTCCTCGTGGCACCAGCGGCTTAGTGTCAACGGCGTCCTGGGTCCCACCTGACGCGTTTCGTGCGCACGCACTTCTTCAGAGGTGGAACATAGGACTGCCGTGACCATCTACTCGTACCTAAAATACCGTATTTCGCGCATGCGCACTAATGCGGCGCCATCTTGCGTGGAGTCCGGGCGTCCGCGATAACCAAGTGCGCATGCGCGGTGTGTGCCATTTCACCATGGGCCAAGAGAGAACACGGATCACTAAGGAACGGCTCCATATAAGTGGAGCCCGGGCGTCCGTTTTGCGCTCATCAGAGCGCATGCGCGGATGCCATTTTCTTGTGCATACATAGTCCGATCTCACTGGCGCATAGAGAGATAAATCTCTGGTGATAAACAGCTTTAATATTAAAAGGTGTTGGAAATATAAAATCAGTGCTGTATTGAAAACCCATCCAAGGGCATCCCATACAAAGTAATGCACAGAAGAGGGAAACAATATGACATGGACAATATGTACAAATAGTGTAAAAAGACCAGATCAAGAGATAAACAAGAGGCTGGTGAAAATACTGGTATGATGGAAAAAACCATTCACTCCATATGCCCCAAACAATTGAAGCGAGATTAATTGGTTAAATTGCTTAATCAATTATAATGTCAAAGCCCCCACCACAGGAATTGTACCTATGTGTAGGGCTAGAGATACCATGGTGAAATGGCAGCATAGTAAAATTTCTAAAATAACGCATGGGGATTGGTCAAAAGAAATTCAATCTAAACCCATATATGACAATTAAAACATACATGCAGAATACAAGATTAAACGCATATACCAAAATAGTATAAAATTAATAAAATGGAAAAACCAAAATAGTAAATAATAAAATAAGAGAACAAGGTGCAGTTGGCACTAGCACAATGGAAACAAGCAGGTCTACTGGAGATCAAAATTGATGTCATATAAACGCATGTGGGAGATGGCGAGATTGATTTGATAATCTTGTGCCAATGCGCAATAAGGGCCTGGAAACGGGGTTTAAACCAATCCGCTTAATCGGCCTAAGTGTGTAGGTTGACGATAAAGGAAGAGGGTAGGTAACAATGGGTCTAGTGTCCAGAAGATAATTCATAATAATAAAGGTGTTCACAACCTATTGGTTAGACATCACAGGGTCAACTGAAGTAGCAATGGGTCTAGTAACCTGGGAATAGTTAATATGATGAAGGTATTCACAATCTATTGGCCAAATATCACAGGGTTAACTATTGTCAATGTAACAATTGACATCCAATTCAATATTCAAACCTGCAGGATATAAGGTGTCCCAATTCAAAAATATGTTTAGTTTCTAATTGTGAGACGGCCCTAGTTTTACAAGTTCCTTTCCAATGTGGAGTAACAATATCAATGCCCACAAATCTCAAGCTGGTAGGGTCTCTATGATGGTGTTTCCTATAATGGAGGGACAGTGAATGTTCCTTATATCCCTTCTTTATGTTGTTAACATGTTCCCGAAGGCGATCCCTAAGTCGCCTAGTTGTCCTACCAATGTATTGCTTGAGACAGGGGGCATTCTAGTAAATAAACGACAAATCTGCTATTACAACAAATAAATTTATCGATATTGTAAGATCTTAGTTTGGTTAGACCAGTGGTGGGCAACCTTTTTTTTCAACTGAGCCAAATCTCGCCAAAACCACGATTGAAATTTATTTTGAGAGCCACATTTTTAAAACTGAAAATACATCTCACATATAGTAATTCATCCCCCATATAGTAATTCATCCCCCATATAGTAATTCATCCCCCATAGTAATTCATCCCCATATAGTAATTCATCCCCCATAGTAATTCATCCCCCCTATAGTAATTCATCCCCCCTATAGTAATTCATCCCCATATAGTAATTCATCCCCCATAGTAATTCATCCCCCCTATAGTAATTCATCCCCCATATAGTTATTCATCCCCCATATAGTAATTCATCCCCCATATAGTAATTCATCCCCCATATAGTAATTCATCCCCCATAGTAATTCATCCCCCCTATAGTAATTCATCCCCCCTATAGTAATTCATCCCCCATATAGTTATTCATCCCCCATATAGTAATTCATCCCCCATAGTAATTCATCCCCCCTATAGTAATTCATCCCCCCTATAGTAATTCATTCCCCCCCTATAGTAATTCATCCCCCATATAGTAATTCATCCCCCATATAGTAATTCGTTCCCCATATAGTAATTCGTCCCCCATATAGTAATTCATCCCCCATATAGTAAGTCCCCCCTGTGTCAATTCACTTACCTTTTGCTCCGCGCGCGTTCCTCTCGCCGTGTTCCCGCGCCGTTTCTGGTCTTCAGGGCGGACTGTGAGAGGAGAGGAGTTCGTCACGCTGCCCCGCCTACATCCTGGCTGCCCCGCCTACATCCTGACAGCTGCAGAGTCCTGACTTTTGGGGCGGCCGGCCCGAGAGGAGGGAGGGGGGCGGCCGCCCGAGAGGAGGGAGGGGGCGGCCGCCCGAGAGGAGGGAGGGGAGCGGGCTCCCGACACACAAAAGAGCCGCATTTAAGTTTGTAAAAGAGCCGCATGTGGCTCGCGAGCCGCGGCTTGCCGACCACTGGGTTAGAGGTATAAGTGTCTATCTTTCTTTTCCTCACACCATTACACTTGCAGGCGATACATTTGTTGCATGGGTAAAAACCCGTGTAGTCAAACAAAGTAGAAGGTGATTTGGGCATGGTGACAACATTAGGGCTATTTTGTCCCGCAAGGTAGATGATTTACGGAAGATAACCTCAGGTTTCTCCGGAAGTATCTTAGCAAGGGTGGTGTCAGCCTTCAAGATCCCCCAGTTCTTGGTAATTATGTGTTTTATAGATCTATGTTGGGCAGAAAATGTCGTGATAAATGGACATACCAAATTTTTAGGTGGTTTCGTCTGGGTACTTAATAAATCGTGTCTATCCATGTTGGTTATTAGTTCCATAGTGTCATTCAAAAACCTCCCATCATATCCTTTCTCAAGGAATCGTTCTTTAAGGATATTAGCCTGTGTATGGTAAGTTTCAATGTTGGTGCAGTTTCTTCTCAGTCTGAGGAATTGTCCCTTCGGTATACCTGCCAACCAGCTAGGGTGGTGACAGCTCCCTAGTGGGATGAAACTGTTTCGATCAGTGGATTTGAAGAAGGATTTGGTGGTAATGTGTCCATCAGTATTAATTAAAGTGAGATCTAAGAAATCAATTTCAATATTGCTAAACTTGTATGACAATTTAATGTTCACAGTATTATTGTTAAGAGTGGTGAAAAAATTGGTGAGGGACTGTTCCGTGCCGTTTCAAAACAAGAGCACGTCATCAATGTACCGCTTATAATAAAGCAATTCAGGCCAGTCCATAGCATAAATGTTATCCTCCTCCCAATAGGACATGAACAAGTTAGCCAGGCTGGGGGCAAACTTTGCCCCCATGGCAACTCCCTTGACTTGCAGATAATATTTGCTGTCAAACCACATATAATTCTTTGACATGGCAAAATTCAGAAGTTCCAATATGAAATCAATATGCGGAGGGAGTAATGAGCTCTCATGTGTAAGGTAATGTTTAGCGACTGTCATCCCATCTCTATGGTCAATGTTGCTGTACAACGCCTCAACATCCGCTGTTACCAAAAAAGCAGATGGAGGAATAGAGATATCTTTAATGGAATTAAGGACATGCTTCGTGTCCCTTAAATAGGAAGGGGTATGCAGTACTAGTGGTTGAAGATGCTGATCGATATAAGCACCTATTCTAGAACAGAGTGAATCGATCCCACTCACTATCGGTCTGCCCGGAGGTTTTAGTGGATTTTTATGTACTTTGGGCAATATATACAAGACCGGTAGACGAGGGGCCTTAGGACACAAGAATTCCTTCTCTTTTTTATTAACAATTGATTTGTCATATCCGCTTTTTATAATATTCTTAAGAGTGCGTTTATAATCCGATAGGGGATCTTTGTGAAGCAGTTGGTATGTTGACGTATCCCCAAGAATATTATGTACTTCTGCTGTGTAATCACTCTTATTTAAAATGACTACCCCTCCCCCCTTATCCCCCCTTATGACTTCTTAAAGGGTCAGTGTGTTTGCTCATACTTGGCTATTCAATTCTCAATTCTGCACCTGTGTTGCTTTCAATAAAAGTTTTACCTACTACACTATGAGTGCTTCCCTATGTCTCCTGTGAGGAGCTTCTTCCATCCTTGCAGCCCTGGGGATTCCTGTGCCAGTTCCTTTGGAGGCTTATCCAGATCGTTACTGCTCTGACCTGCTGGATTATTTCTCACCACATGAGGGCGTAGGATCTCCATCTTTCCCAGCTATATACCTGACCAGACCTGAGTGGAGAGGGGATCTTCAGGATATATATATACACATGCGCATTACCTATGCGCGTTCTGGTTAGTGTGAAATTCTACCATTTGCACTGGGAATCAAGGAGCACTGTTTTCACCGGACTGTGTTTAATATTATTTACTCACTTTTTATGAGCGCTGCATTTCTTTTATTTATGTATCTTGGGACTTTTATGTGTTTTCCTATAATGTCCAGCTGCTTTGCATTGTAGATGAGCGCTTACTATACACTATTATTATTCTCATATCCTACTACAATTATTTTAGATCTGGGGACCAGGATGGGGAAAAACACCAAAATCACACCTCCCCTAGACTGGTCATTGAAGGCAAGGAGTGGAAGTGTGTGTATTTGGCTGAAGAAATACACTGCGCCTGGCTGCGGGGCAAAGTACGGGGAAACCGGGGCAATATACAAGCGGCCCTTGCGAGGGCAGCACTACACTTATGTATCACTATTGGTGTTCTCAGGACTGTACAATGTGCCCCCTCTCCAGGACAACCACTTCTAGGCAAAGAATGCTGAATTCTTCTCTCTGGTTGTTGAGGAAGGGGAGCGCGCTCAGTCCCTGGCCCTGTCAGGCTGTACAAGGCCCCATGATTTTTAGTGGTGTCCCATATAGAGCAGCCGGAGTAAATATGAAGTCACTCAAATACCAATGTTATTAGAAAAGTATTACGGCCATGTTGTGCAATTTCTATTTCCGGAGACATTAGAAGTACATTAAAAAGCTGTGGCCACATTATGGACTGTCATTATACCGCTGTCTAGTCCCATAGTATACCGCTGTCTAGTCCCCAGCGTACCGCTGTCTAGTCCCCCAGCATACCGCTGTCTAGTCCCCCAGCGTACCGCTGTCTAGTCCCCCAGCGTACCGCTGTCTAGTCCCCCAGCGTACCGCTGTCTAGTCCCCCAGCGTACCGCTGTCTAGTCCCCAGCGTACCGCTGTCTAGTCCCCCAGCGTACCGCTGTCTAGTCCCATAAATATGGCGACTGTTAGCAAGGATCACACAATGTACTTACAACATGCAAAGGGGCTACCGGGAGAAGGTATCATGCCATACATACCTCCCAACTGTCTGAGATGGGAACGAGGGACACCTATTGCAAAAGTATGTAGGCATAGGAAAACTCCTCACACCCACCCCCCCCCCCCCCCATGCTACTGTTCCTTTATATTGGCTTTGGAAATATCCAAGTGCAGCAATTTAGAAATTGGATGAAGGGTTTAGCACTGTAAAATACTTTTTTGTTAAATAGTGTGCATTTCATATACAACTATATAGATTGGGACAAATGAGGAGGACAGAGGGACTTTGTTCCAAATGGGGGGACAGTCCTTCGAAATCAATCAGTTGGGAGCTATGTACATGGGTATATAAAGTTACATCTATGGGGCCTTTAAATGTATATGGAGGGTGACCGTATAATCGTGTCTGACGTGTGCTTCTTTAGCCCTTTGTACATGAAAATACTCCTGATAGGGACAATGGGTGTATGAGTAAAGGATGAGTATTATGAAGTCAAATTATACAATTGTATTAAGATGATCATGGATGGTGAGGGCCTCACAAATGTCTTGGAGAGCCACCAACTTGGCTGAAAATATCCTGATAGTCATAATAGTGACATGACCGGAGACAGTCAGTGAATGGATGAGTGTCATTGCTATAAATCCTGTGTGATCTGTGATCATATTCTGTGCTGTCACCTGACCTGTCATCCCGGGTTTTATATTCTCAGAGACGTTCCAAGAGGAGAAAGAAGAAGGAGGTGATCCCAGAAATGGTTCCTCTAAATAGCGTGGGGAATGGAGCTGTGGCCGCTGTGGGGAATGGAGCTGTGGCCGCTGTGGGGAATGGAGCTGTGGCCGCTGTGGGGCATGGGAGCTGTGGCCGCTGTGGAGCTGTGGCCACTGTATGCAATGGAGGCATGGAACCTGGAGTAACTGTAGCCAACCTGGTACTGGAAAAAAATGAAGATTATGTAGAGCAGGGGTCCTCAAACTATAGCCAGATCAGGCCCACCAAAGTTATTTACCTAGCCGCCAGGCCGGCCAAAAAAATATAAAAAAAAAAAAATGGCGCCGGCAAATAAATAGGCTGCTCACTGGGTCCTCAGCCATGAGGACCCAGCGAGCCGCAGCCTGGTGACGTATCACCCTGTGACTTCAGGCTGATTTCTCTGCTGCCAGAGGAGCAACAGGAGCGGAGGAGGAGGAGGAGGAGGAGGAGGGCTCCCCAGGTACAGAGCATTTTATATATTGTATTTTTCTTTTCCTGTTTTTTGCACTACAACTGAGATATGTGCGCTGTGCACGGGATTTGTTCATAGTTTTTTTCCAACTACAATCCAGCCCCCCAACAGTGTGAAGGTCAGTGAACTGGCCCCGTTTGACTAGTTTGAGGACCCCTGATGTAGAGTGTACAGAGTGAAGATGGGAGATACTTTAAGTCGTTTTTAATGAATACGGATCTCCAGGCAAACGCTGGGAACTAAATAAGTGAAATGTCTCATCAGCCAAACGTGTATAATTCTGCTCAGCCAGTCTTGTGAGACTTCCCAGCAGGACAGCATAGTCAAGTCGGTGACCTCAGTTTTTATTCAACTGCCCCCTTCTCAGCCCACTGATTGGACAATGAAGGAGAATCACGCACTGATGAGGTCACCCCTGCACCCCCCCCCATGCTCCCAGTGTTACATTGACAGCAATGTGGGAAATATTTGATTGCTCCATATTGGTGCTCCAACCTTCTGTGCATAGAACCACATGGACTATTCCGGCTTTATGAAGGACATTTTTATAGAGTCCTTCCATTTTCCACATTATGGGTTACAGAAACCGAGAACAGATATGAAATTGAACAAAGTGACCGTAGTCCTCAGTTGGACCTTGGCCTATAATCGGCTTGTTAGCGGCACATTGAATGAAAATTGCCAACCAAGCTTCAGAATACAGAAATATACACGGCTCAAAAAAATGAAAGTTACACTTTTTAATCAGTCTAATATCAAGTCAATGACATTCCCGGGATATTGATCTGGTCAGTTGAGTAGCAGAGGGGGTTGTTAATCAGTTTCAGCTGCTTTTTGTGTTAATGGAATAAACAAAGGTGCACTAGATGGGCAACAATGAGATGACCCCCAAAACAGGAATGTTTTACAGGTGGAGGCCACTAATACTTTTTTCCCTACTCATCTTTTCTATTTGTCACTAGTTTTGCCTTTGGCTAGGGGTCAGTGTCACTACTGGTAGCATGAGGCTGTACCTGGACCCTACAGAGGTTGCACAGGCAGTCCAACTCCTCAGGATGGCACATCAATACATACCATTGCCAGGTTTGCTGTGTCTCCCAACACTGTCTCCTGGAATCTCCTCCATGCTCTTGAGACTGACCGTTACTCTAGGAGAGCTGGACAGGGCCGTAGAAGGTCCTTAACCCATCAGCAGGACCGGTATCTGCTCCTTTGTGCAAGGAGGGACAGGATGAGCCCTGCCAGAGCCCTACAAAATGACTCCAGCAGGCCACTGGTGTGAATGTCTCTGACCAATCAGAAACAGACTTCATTAGGGTGGTCTGAGGGCCCGACGTCCTCTAGTGGGCCCTGTGCTCACTGTCCGGCACCATAGAGCTGGATTGGCATTTTCCATTGAGCACCAGAACTGTCAGGTCCACCACTGGCACCCTGAGCACATGTGACAGACGTGAAAGGGTCTGGAGAAGCCGTGGAGAACGTTCTGCTGCCTGTAACATGGTTCAGCATGACCGTTCTGGTGGTGGGTCAGTGATGGTCTGGGGGGGGATATCCAGCGGAGGGACTCACAGACCTCTACAGGCTAGACAATGGTACCCTGACTGCCATTAGGTATTGGGATGAAATCCTTGGACCCATTGTCAGACTCTATGCTGGTTGCAGTGGGTCCTGGGATCCTCCTGGTGCAGTGGGTCCTGGGACCTCCTGGTGCAGTGGGTCCTGGGATCCTCCTGGTGCAGTGGGTCCTGGGATCCTCCTGGTGCAGTCCTGGGTTCCTCCTGGTGCAGTGGGTCCTGGGTTCCTCCTGGTGCAGTGGGTCCTGGGCTCCTCCTGGTGCAGTGGGTCCTGGGCTCCTCCTGGTGCAGTGGGTTCTGGGTTCCTCCTGGTACAGGGGGTCCTGGGTTCCTCTGGTGTGTACAATGCCCAGCCTCATGTGGGTAGAGTATGTAGGCAGTTCCTGGAGGATGAAGGAATTGATACCATTGAATGGTCCCCACGCTTGCCTGACCTAAATCCAATAGAACCCCTCTGGGATGTCATGTTTCGGTCCATCCGACGCCATCAGATTGCACCTCAGACTGTCCAGGAGCTCAGTGATGCCTGGTCCAGATCTGGGAGGAAATCCCCCAGGACACCATCCGTGGTCTCATTAGGACCCTCCCCGACGTTGTCAGGCATGCATACAAGCACGTGGGGGCCACACAAACTACTGAGGACCATTCTGAGTTGCTGCAATGACATTTCACCAAAATGGACTCGCCCTGCTGCATCATTTCTTCACTTTGATTTTTGGGGTGTCTTTGATGGAAATGAATGTTATCTGCCTACAGAGGACATTGGATTCAAACGATGGGACGTCCTTACGTTCCTCACCCATCCCCCGCCCATGTCAGTATAGAGATCCAGCAGGAGATTCCTCCCCATTGAGATCTGATGGGTTTTCAGGGTGTTTAACCACTTTACAACCACATTGTATCCGAAAGATGGCTACAATGCGGTTGTCCAGTTCTAGGAAGGCGTTGTATAACTTCCTCCCAGAATGCGCCCCCCCCCCCCATGCTGTCAGTGATCACCTGTGTCCTATGGACACAGCTGATCACATGACAAGATAAAAGGCCAATCACAGCAGCCTTTTACCATGGGATCAGCTGTATCCAATGACACGGCTGATCACAAAGTAAAAATACAGTTGCCGGAGATCAGCAGCACTTTCCTCACACTGTCACAGCGAGGAAAGTACTGCCGATAACCGGCCAATGTCACAGAGGACATCTGCACTGATTATCAGTGCCCAATAATGCCGCCCATCAGTGCTCTGGACTGAGACATATACACACTATAGGGGGATGTGCTTTGTTCATATTTCATGTCTGAGGTTTACAACCACTTTAGGCTTCTGGGCCAGAGCAGCAGCGAAGTTTTACCGATGAATGTTTTACCGATGAATGTTAAAAACCCTGTGAGGGTAACCCTGGTGTGTTTGGGGGATTTTATTAAAAAAATGGGCAAGAAAAGGAGGTAAAAGGTTTTATATGTAATGTTACATTTTAATACATTTCTGAGAATAAAGTAATCTTGTTCTGAGTTCTTGTTGTGCTTCCAGGATTACTGATCAGTCATAACCGATGATGAACATTAGGAGGTACACTGCATCGGCCTGACTTCAGTCAGAGGGTCTGTACATGACTAGAGCAGGGGCTGCAGGAGTACAGTCATTAACCCCTTCATGCCTGAGGGTAAAACAAATCTAAATGCCTAAGCACAATTTTGCAACTTTGATGTGTTAGTAAAACCGTCCGTATCATCACAATTACTTTGTACATCCGGGTGAATTATACCGCGTTATTTTCAGGACAAATTGGGCTTTCAGTTGGTGGTAAATGGATATCTCCTGTGTGGTTTTTTTTTTTTTTTTTTTTCTATTTTATTATCAAAGAAAAACTGGCCCAAAATAGTAAAAAAAAAATGTTTTATTTAGCTGTGTTTCTTGTTACTACCATAACCTACCACCAAAGAACAACCAAAAATAAATTCTCCAGCTCTTGACGATCGCAGCGATACCATATATGTGTGTTATTTGTTGTTTGTACCCGGAGTACAGCCCAAAACAATAGTGCGCATTTTTTTTTGTTTGTTTGTTTTTTTTTTTGTTTTTTTTACAAACATTTTTTTTTCTCTCTATGCCAAGAGTTAGAGAGATACAATGTATAATAGGATGTATATAACGATACAATGTATAATGGGATGTATATAATGATACAATGTATAATGGGATGTATATAACGATACAATGTATAATGGGATGTATATAATGATACGATGTATAATGGGATGTATATAACGATACGATGTATAATGGGATGTATATAACGATACAATGTATAATGGGATGTATATAATGATACAATGTATCTCTCTTCTCCATTCATAGAAAAAAAAACAAGGGGGGGCCGGACTGCACAGTGACTGATCATTCTGATAGCCAATCGGAGGCTATCACAGCGATCATGTGACCCGAAATCGGGAGTCCCGGGTCCTGATTGTTAGAACGGGACCCGGGGCTCTCAGTGACACCGCGATCTTTCTGCTGGGAGCATGCAGTGCGGTGCACTCCCAGCCAAAGACAGGTATGCAAATATGCGGCCCCACGGAAAAAAGCCCAGTTCTGTGAGGCTGCATATTTGTGTTCTGTCGGTGTCAAGGGGGTTAAAGCGGTATTAAGCCGGAACACAAAGCCGGGTCTTTCTATAGGATTTGGGCTTTTAGCCGCAGAGACTGTGTAGTGGGATCAGGATTTGTGATATATTCCATTTCTACGTTCTCTACGGCAGCCGTCAGCTCCGGTGCCCGCTGATGGGAGGAACATTTCATTCTTATGTCCTCCCCACTAGTGATGGGCTTCATGTTCGAGTCCAACGATTCGGTCAACTCAAACATCAGCCCATCCATGTGTTCGGGCCACACGAATGGTAAGGGCATTCGGGCTATTCGCCTGCCGTGCCCCACAATATGCTGCACCCTGACAGTGCATTGTGATTGGCCAAAGCAATGCACCTTACCACAGGTCAGGTGCAATGCTTTGGCCAATCACAGCGCATGATGATGTCACAAGG